GGGGGGGTGGGGGAGATTTATAAGGGCCATACTCCCCACTCAGCTCTTAACAACCTGAGATGCTCTGACCAGCATCCCGTTCAGCTCTTGGCATCTGGTAACCAGTGTGGTCAGTGAGCTGGGCGGGACGTCGGCGACACCCAGAGCCAGAGCTGGGCAGTGAGAGCGTGCACAACCACAAAATCTGGCAAGCTTGATGGCCTCTAATATCATTTTATGAGTATCCAGTGAGAAGGTCCAAGAAGCTGCTGGATGATTCAGCTCAATGGTGCCCACTGAACACTAAACCTGTGTTTTGGCCATGCAGTACAAAGCAACACTGTAAAAAATGGCCACTGCAGCATCTTATACCCTCCATCCCTGAGCTCCCCTGCTACTCTGATAGCTGTCAATAGAAACATTTCTGTGTAAGCCCCAAGTCAATCCCAATGGAAGCTTATACCATGACTCATCCCTTATCAGGTGCCTGAGCCTTAGGTTTCAATCAGACAAAGGGAGCTGCAAAGCAATTAAGCAGCATTTCTTAAGTTAGGCAGTTCCTAGCACCACAATGACCTGATTATGGATACAGTGTGGTGTGTGTGTGTGTGTATGTGTGTGTCTAGCTCACCTGTTAAGTACAGTCCCGGCACTGCGGTCTGAGCCCTCATTCTGCTGATAATGCCACATTGGTACCGGCTACAGTTCTGTTCAGCTCCGTACATTGACCCCTGAGGTGCCCGTAGGTAATACTCATTACTCACTGGGGTTGCAGCTTCTATATATTCAATCTGTAAATAAGACAATTGCAGTTACCAGTTGCCTTTCATTTCTGCCATGGCAATCCTTGCATTGAGTGTTTGTGTCAGTGCATATTAAAAACATACAGTATCTGAGCTTACCCTTTAAACTTGCACCTACAGTAAATATTAGTCTGCAATAGCAGCTCCAATGTTTGTATTATGACAGTTTCGTTCTCCTGAGTCCCAGTGACACTCCTCTAAAAATGGAGGTGTGGTTGTTACTGGAACAGGAAGACACAAACCGCAATACAAATGTTGTCAGAAGGTCTAACCCTTTCTCACACTACTAATCATGTGTTTTTGTGAATCCCCATTGGGAGATTTCTCATCACTTCCTCTCCATGGAATTAAAGGCAAGGATAAAAATTCTAAAGAGGCTCTAACCCTTCCCCGTGATACCCAAAATTAGATATTTGGTTGGGGTTGGGCTTCAACACACGGTGGGTATGAGAAAACTAATAGAGGTCACCAGGCTAGCAGTGCTTTGAGGCAGAGTTGTGTAAATCTCAAGACCGAATGGACAGAATTACAAATCCTTTGGCAGGTGTGTGAGTTCTGTTGTAGGTATTTTATCTGTGTATTTAGCTGTTTGCCTGGAGTTCACCTTTTGGGCTCATGTTGACAGGCATTGATTTCAAATGCTATTCAAACGCAAATGCATATGATTAGATGGCAAACGCAGCATTTGAAAAGAAAAGGCTGCGTCTGACCTGCTTTGCCTGCAAAGGACATGCTGCACACAAAGAAACCCAGTGCAACGCAAAGCAGGTCAAACCCAGCCTTTGAACCGACGTGTACTACTCGCTTATGAGGGCACAGGTATCCAGCCTCTTGGCTGTGCACTGTACCTTGCCTTCAAGTTGTGGGAATTCTTGTATGGCTCTCTCCACCATGTGTTCTGCCAGCTTCATCTTCCTGCAGTAATACTCATCACCGCGATGCCGTGGGGTCTGTCCCCTCCATTCCGAGAACCACTTGTAAGGAGCCATGGTCAGTAAAGTCATACAGGAGTGACCTGGGGTAAAATAAGTACATCATTATAATAAAAGCAATGATGCTTAAAGGCATAGTGGATCACTGGTGCAGGGCTCTGGCTCCTGCAGGCTGTTCTCCCAACCCCTGTCCATGCCAAAGTACAGACTTTCAGTAATGGGACGAGGAGGAAGTAGTAATAGATTTCACCCCACTTGTACTCCATTATGAACTATAACTTCTGCCACAGTACAGAACTTGTACATATTACATTCACAGACCGTGTAAATGGATATGTGAAAGAATGATGGAGCCATGCATTAAATGAAAAAAATTAGAGAAGCCCATGCGGAGAAGTACCCCATGATAAAGGGAAGCGGTTGGGGAACAGGAGCTGGGGGGTGTGACCGTGTTTTATGTTGCACCCTGAATATGGGTGTAACTAGAAACATAGCCTAAAAAGTGGAGTTATCCCATTAATAGACTTCGTTCAGAGTTGTATGCCCCTGCACATGCACAGGAGTATGAAATCTTATCCATGCCTACAGCCAAGTATGACCATTGAGTTTCATGGGAAGCTGTACACAGCACCCATGGCTCCCTGGTAGGGGGAAACACACCAATATTTGCATTGGAAGGATACGGCAACCCGTGTGCAAGAGCTCTTACTTTTGCACTTGTTCTGGTGGAAATTGTCAAAGGTGGGATCTTTCCTCATTTAGGGGTGATCTCCACGTGTTGTGTCTCGGAGGACAGCAAGCGCGGAGAAATTTCCCAGGTGGGCACACGGAAAGTAAAAAAAAAAAACTTGCATAGGTTTCCACGTGGTCTCAAACACTGAAAAAAAACAGTTTTGGCTGGCGTTACACTTTAAACAGTGATTGCAATGCAGAAGTCCTCTCAGTTCATTGAATCCTATAGCTGAAAATGTGACCTGTACCTGGGGAAATCACAAAGGACAAAGGGTATCCAATGTCTAATATAACCAAGTGTTTCTCAGCAAAAAAGTACATAAAAGGTACAATAGTAAGGTATTTGAAGCATGCTCCCCACCTGGGTGTCTCTTTTGGTAAGTCGGATCCTTGCCGGATGGGAATGTGATAAACATCAGAGGTAAATCCTCACAGATCTCCTCCCACTCTAAAGACCAGAACTTCTCCATCCTAAAAAAATATAGCTCAATATTCTACATGAAACTATTTACAAATTAACATTTCAGAACAATACATTTTTTTTCTCTTTTCTAAAGGACGAGTCCACCAAGTTAATTAGAGAGAGGGGTTCGACCATTCTTCACCTAAAGAGCAGCATCTTCTAACCCATAATAGCCTCCTTATTGGAAGAAGAAGTCACATGCAGTTCCATGAGCCTGAAGCTTTATTTGGTATACTTCTTTCCAACATGAACCATGATGCACATCCAAACTCCAACACATCAACATGGCACAACATCAATGAAACCAAGTGCCCCCATAGTCTCTTTTCTGCCCATTTCAAAGTCTGCTCCCAGCTGGGGCAGCCATGCTCCCCCAAAGGGGAGCCCGAGTCCCACAGACTCACATTTCTATGGCAAAACAGTTCTCTTTTCTGAATAAAACCTCCTAAGCATAATCTTTCCTTTTACCACCACCACACACCACCCATAAGTTCTTCTCACCCACCTTACTGTATATATGCCCAATCTGGGAAGACTGAGTAATAATAGTCTCTCATGGTGAGAACCGTAGCAAACAACGGAAGACAACCATGGCTCCTCCATAGATAAGGTGACTGAAGTGACCGAAGCCACCCATGTGGAAATGTGGTATTTGCAGGATTACCAGGTGAAAATAAAGGGAACAGAGCCTGATAAAAGAAAACTAACACAGCCACCTCATCTAAGGACTGGTTAGCTGCAGAATTTTAATTTGTTGTTTTTAGGTTTAGATATACATTAAAATATCTTTGACATGAAGTCTGAAATCTATGAGTGACATTTGCATATGAGCCAAAACATCAGTACAAATTGAACCCCTTTTCTGCAAGACTCACGAGCCATTGAGGTCACTCTCGGGGTAGATCCAGAGATTGGTGGATTTCAACCCAAGTTCTTCACTTGTTCCTCGAAGACCAACAAAAACTAAAAAGCAGCCCATTCCATGCTGGAGGCTGGAGAGGAGCGAAGCCACTTCTAGTGCAGGAGAACAGAGGAGGCAACGGTTATGGAAGAGAAAAAGGTGGACTAGTAGAAAAAAAAGTTGTTGGCCTCTCTTACCTGGTGCGGCTTTTATCTCTGGTGGCAGGAGTTGATTGTAAGTGTTGAAGATGCCAGCATCCGATATAACAATTGGCGCATATATGCATATCTCCCTATCTTTCCTCTTTACAGCCACACCTAATGAGGAAACGTAGAAAATTGGGTAATTCCTACAGCCAATGATGCTATTGATTTACATTGGTTATATATATACAAGTCTCATTGAGGGCAAATGTGTACATCTCAAACAAATGAAGCTAAATGAATGTTCAGAGGGATGTCAGCAATGGCAGCATCCATATTGATCTCATGGAACAAGTACAGGTGAGACGCTGGATTCATATATTACAAAGATTGGTTGGAATGTGATGAAGCACAATGGCTCTGGTGAGGCCACTCTCAACAAAAATGGAATGTCCCACATACAAGCCATAACCTTTTGCTACTTTCTTCTACCATTCACCTGTGGCTCTGCCATTGGTCAGCAGGATCCGTGAGACGGAGGCCCTTACAAGCACTCTCCCTCCAGCACGCTCAATAATGGGAATCATATGAAATGCAATTTCGCTGCTCCCTCCCCGCGGGTACCAAGCTCCTCTTTTGTAATGGTGGATCAGGAGGGCATTGATCATGAAACTGGAGTCATTTGGAGGAACACCTGTAAAGGAAAATGTTTAAAGCTGAACGTTAGACAAGAAACGTTTTAAACTTTGCGTTGAAAAGGGAAAGGTTAGAACCCCTGTCAGGCTTACAGGACAGGAAGAGAGGGAAATCTTTCTTGTGGGGACACAGGCATCTGCACTCTGTACATTACATGCCCCTGACACCTGCACGTTACATATTACTGACCCCTGAACTTTGTATTTTGTATACGCTTGACCCTTGTACTGTGCACATTATGTACTCCTGACACCTGCACTCTGTACTTTACATATTACTGACTGCTGCACTCAGTATGGTGCATACCCTTGACACTTGCCCTCTGTATGTTGCATACCCCTGACATCTGCAATCTGTATTTTGCATACCCATGACACATGCACTCTGTATGCTTCATAGTCCTGACACTCGTACTCTGCAGAATGCATAACCCTCACACCTGCACTCTGTCTATTACATACTCCTCACCACTGCACTCTGTATGTTGCATACCCCTGTCATTTACACTTTGTATGCTACATACTTTCGACTCCTGCACTCTGTATGTTACACATTTTTGAGCACTGCACTCTGTACCATGGGGTTTACCTTACATACTCCCAACCCCTGCATTTTGTAAGTTACATACTACTGAAACCTGCACCCTGTATGGTACATACTCCCAACCCCTGCACTCTGTATGTTATATATCTCTGACACCTGCACCCTGTATGTTACATACTCCCGAACCCTGTACTTTGTATATTACATACCTGACACCTGCACCCTGTATGGTACATATTCCAGACCCCTGCACTATGTGCGTTATACATCTCTGACACCTGCACCCTGTATGTTACATACTCCCGACCCCTGTACTTTGTATATTCATACCTCTGACATCTGCACCCTATGGTATATGCTCCCGACCCCTGCACTCTGTATGTTATATACCCCTGACACCTACACCAATTGTTACATACTCTGGATGCCTGCACTCTGTATGATACATCTTACTGATCCATGCACTCTGAGACCTGCATGCTCATTGGTATGTTATTCCTCTTAAAGTCTTCTGCTTAGCCTGGGGGGGACATCCTCCTAAGTTCTGTTATTGTTCCAGACGCTAGAGTGCATTGTACCTAATGTTTATACAGTACTCTTGTAAAATGCCTTTGTTCCAGGCTGAATGTACTTTATGTGTATTTTCAAGCACATATAATTAGTTATTATTAGAGTATGGCGACACTGTGTAATATTGACATGCTGTAGTACAATTTCTGTATAAGTCCTTATATTATGGATAACACCACTCCCCAAACCTCTGTACTTTGGAATGAAGGTGATCTATCTCATTCCAGTGTCAGTATTAATTGGTTTATCAGACAAGTAATCAGAATATCAGTAAACTCATTATAGACTGAGTTAATGGATTACCACAGAGGGTAAACTAGGTGAGGCATGATACAGGGGTAACACACAGGGGGAGGGAAAGGCTCAATCACAGCAAATATCTTGTCGTTAAAGTATATCTAAAGCCAAAACTATTTTTTGTACGGCATATTTTGTGCTCGTTACTATGTTCTGCTGGAGATAGAAAGTGTCTTAGTTGTCACCAGAACAGAATTAGAAGGGAAATATTCCAATGGGAACACCTGTTCTAGTGTCAACTCTCTAAATACAAATTTCCCCTGACTTTGGAAAGATTTCTTCCCACTTCCTATTGTGTCTTAAGGACAGGAAGCGAAGCAGAATCTCTCCAATGTGACACAGCAAAATATATTTGATAGGTAATGACCGTTCCCTATTCTATCCAAAACTGAATAAAAGGTTTGGCTTTAGCTAAAGCTATTTTTTTAAGTTTTGGATACAGTAGGGAAGAGTTAGAGTCTTGTGAACTTATTTTAACACAGTGCACATGAATGGAGGTACGTGCTGCTTTCGTGAACGAGGCAAAGGGTTTCTTGGATTGAAGGAACAGAGTGTCATTCCTTATCCTCACTAATTGTTTTATCGCCCCTGTATACTGAACATCAGTAAACCTCTTATGATACGTTAATTGACACAAAGGGCTTAGATAGCTCTGGCTTTAGATGAGCTGAAGGGAACTGACAGGCCCTTCATCTCAACATTCAATCTGTACAGGACAGAATACTTTTTTAGAACACGGTACATTTATGTGTCATCTGTACCAACACAAATATAAAATACAAGGTGTGTTGTCCTCATTTGAAACTAGTTAAAAAACATTAAGGGATTTATTCATAAAATATTTGCAGAGTGAACAGTTCTGAGAACGTCAGTTTTAGATTTGCAAGTTATTATGACCTCCACTAGATGGAGCGGAGGAGCATAGGAAATTCCTGTGCTCCTTGGTGCCATCTAGTGGCCATAATGTGCTGTAAATCTAAAACATGAACATTCACAGAGCTGATCGCTCTGCAAAGGTTTTCTAATTACATCCCTGACATACTGAAGCTTAGAGTTCCATCTACTTTAAGAGGGCAATATTGTACTCTAGAGTGCTTTATTGAGCAGCTTTTTAGTTCTTTTCAGCACACTTCACCATAAGTTCACCTATTATCCTGAAATGAGGAAAGAAGCCGTTTCTTAAGCAGTGACATAGGAGTCAAAGGATGGAACCATAGCTCACGGCTGGGGTCACAGGCATCTGACACTCCCAGAAGTGTTGAATGCTTTAGATTTTGAAAAGAGGCTGCATTACTTGAATAGAGCGAAGGTAGGAGACATAAGCCATCAGAGACCTGAGTATAATACCTCTTCTACTGCAGGGAACATTCATCTGGATTCTCTAAGTGACTGATAGGCTGAACAATTGCCCCATCATTGTAATTATTGTTAAAGCCGCTTCCAGGGCTTGTTTTTACTGGATCACATACAGGTTCTTATTGATAAATGTAATGCCACCATCACCTACCATAGAAGAGATAGCTGAAGATGACCTGCAGATCTTTATTACTGGTCAGCCCATTGATCACCTCCTGGTGGCTGGACTCTGCAAGCCGGAAGACTGGTGAGACCCAATGGAGAAGACCAGACCGCACCAGAAGCAGGGCAAGCCACTGAGGTATTATCTTCAGCACTGCCACCAGGGGCACATGACGAACTGCTGTCTGCCAACAGAAGCATGACACAGAATTGTTAGCACATTGGCGGCTGTATACTGGTATCATCACAGTGTCATAGAATCCTCATTTATCAGCGTCTGAATGAAACACAAAATGCGTTGTGACAATTTATAGTCTCTGCTTTTGAACCTTTAATTGGGCTGCTGTTGTAAGCAACACAGACAGTTCCTCTTTCAGACACCATTATAAATTAGAAAACTTCAGGCAAACAGCTAAATACATACATGCATATCAAGTCATTATTTTACTTACTGAAATTATTGTAATTCTCTGACCCAGGAGCCCCTGGCATCCAACATTGCTTGGTGACCGATCATACTTTTCACCAGTTCAGTTAAGCAATATTGTATGCAGGGCCGTCTTTACTGCAGAGCAAAAGGAGCAGTTGCCCGGGGCCCAGTCATTGTTTTGGGGATCAAAGCAGCTGCCGACGGAGCCTCAGCACCCTACCATACAGTGCATAGCATGACCGCTTTACATCTCATGCAGGGTCACGTCTCCCTCTGATGTCTCCTCCTATCTGCTATGCATTGCATGGTGGGGACTGGGCGGGTAGGGGTGCAGTGAGGGTGGGGTATGGCGGGTAGGAACGGGGGGCCCAGGAAGATGTTAGCCCAGTGTCCAATCAATATTAAAGACGGCCCTGCTTGTATGGTCACTTAGTCAACACCAGCCCACTGATTGGACAATGACTAAGCTGAACTCCGGGCAACTAGCTATATATACAGTTGTGAATGTGTCCTAATATCTAGACACTCCTACCAGATATCACAGTCATGTCCTCAACATCCACTGCAGAAGCAATACAGCTTGATCAAGAATACCCCTCCACCACCACCACTGCCTGCTGAGTGGACAAGCCATAATACAGTATTATTCCCTGTGTTCTCCCCTCCTGCCCTCTTGTTCACTCTCAGCGCCCTCGCTCAGCCTGAGTGTTACTCTGCAGGGAACTGGGGAAAGCTGATATAAAGACAGATTCATTGTTCTAATCTCTCACCTTCATCAAGGCAACATACTTCTCGATAGCTTCCTCTTCTCCAGGGAATTGCTTCTTCAGGGTGTCGGGGAATTCAGCTTTTCCTGCATAGAGTCGATAGACCTTGTGACCAATCTTAATAGAGTCATACTGAGGTCCTAAGAGGTTCCATTGTAGTTGCCCTTCTGTTAACTGGTCCATGATCACTCGTAGCATCCCTCCTTCATGCATCTGCCCAACGTAGTGCAGACCTAGAAAATAACAGACAATTCAAGCATTATCTTCTTCATGCAAGTCATACATTCCATACGAGTCCATATTTCCTTTACTCTGCTCTTCTAGAAAGACGCAACTACCCTGTCCATAGCATTGTACTGGTATAACTACCACCTCACCTGCCCTCCAAAAATGTAATGCCATTTCCAATACAAGGTAGTGGGATGACCAACAAATCTGATAACTTGAAAATATTTCAAAACCATATGTGGCAAAGTAATCTATTCGATATGGACATTAACACAAGACTAAAGGCCAAGATGTCTTCTCAGCTGGTGGAAGTGTTTGTATGAGGGATGCATCTGTCCCATTCATGGTCGTATTATACCTATTTGAGTTACAGCTCACAAAGTCCTGACAAATAAAACACATACTCACCAACATCAAACTCATATCCATGTTCTTGAAACGTGTGACAGCTCCCTCCAGCCTGGTCATGCTGCTCCAGCACAAGAACCTTTTTACCAGCCTTAGCAAGGAGAGTAGCTGCTGTCAGGCCCCCACAACCACTGCCGATAACCAACGCGTCCAGGTCTGGGGGGATCTTGTCCTGGGAAAAACCTGCACTAGACAAAGACAAACAACCAGGCCTATCAAAGAGCCATCAAATCTAAGATACAACATGCCTTATATACTAGAACAGTGGTGGCGAACCTTGGCACTCCAGCTGTTTTGGAACTACAAGTCCCATGAGGCATTGCAAGGCTCTGACAGCCACAGACATAACTCCCAGAGGCAGATGCATGTTGGGATTTGTAGTTTTGGCACAGCTGGAGTGCCAAGGTTCGCCACCACTGTACTAGAACATTGCTTGAGATCAAGCGTATTAAAAAATAGAGATAGACTGTATTTGGAAAAAGAATCCCTTTACCTAATGCAACCCGACTTTCCTCAACTGATGACAATAGTGATTTGTAACATAGAGGAGTGAGAAGACTGAGATGTGTAAATAATATTAATAACTGGTATTGTTCTGCTATGGTTTTGCTGACCAATGATGTATACACTAAGTTCACCTGGAAATTGTTGCTTTTTTTGGCTTGCAATGTTGTGCGCTACTCTATTCTGCTTGTGCTGTACATTCTATACTCCACACCGCTCCACACTATACACTCTGCTGTATGCCATACAATCTATACCCTATACTGCTCTACATGGATCCACACTATACACTCTGCTCTATGCTATACAATCTATACCCTATAATGCTCTATATGAATCCACACTATACACTCTGCTGTAGGCTATAGAATCTATACCCTATAATGCTCTACATGGATCCACACTATACACTCTGCTCTATGCTATACAATCTATACCCTATAATGCTCTATATGAATCCACACTATACACTCTGCTGTAGGCTATAGAATCTATACCCTATAATGCTCTACATGGATCCACACTATACACTCTGCTCTATGCTATACAATCTATACCCTATAATGCTCTATATGAATCCACACTATACACTCTGCTGTAGGCTATAGAATCTATACCCTATAATGCTCTACATGGATCCACACTATACACTCTGCTCTATGCTATACAATCTATACCCTATAATGCTCTATATGAATCCACACTATACACTCTGCTGTAGGCTATAGAATCTATACCCTATAATGCTCTACATGGATCCACACTATACACTCTGCTCTATGCTATACAATCTATACCCTATAATGCTCTATATGAATCCACACTATACACTCTGCTGTAGGCTATAGAATCTATACCCTATAATGCTCTACATGGATCCACACTATACACTCTGCTCTATGCTATACAATCTATACCCTATAATGCTCTACATGGATCCACACTGTACACTCTGCTGTATGCTATACAATCTATACCCTATAATGCTCTATATGAATCCACACTATACACTCTGCTGTAGGCTATAGAATCTATACCCTATAATGCTCTACATGGATCCACACTGCACACTCCGCTGTATGCTATACAATCTATACCCTATAATGCTCTACATGGATCCACACTATATACTCTGCTGTATGCTATACAATCTATACCCTATAATGCTCTACATGGATCCACACTGTACACTCCACCGTATGCTATACAATCTATACCCTATAATGCTCTACATGGATCCACACTGTACACTCCACCGTATGCTATACAATCTATACCCTATAATGCTCTACATGGATCCACACTGTACACTCCGCTGTATGCTATACAATCTATACCCTATACTGCTTTACATGGATCCGCACTGTACATTGTGCTTTACATTCCATACTCCCATCATTCCACTTTCTACACTGTGCTGTACAATCCATACTACTCCACCCTGCACACTGAGCTATATATTATATATTCCACACCACTCCACACTAAATACTTTGCTGTATGTTATATAATCCTTGCCACTCGCCAATGTGTACTGTACTGTATATGGTATACTTCACACCACTCTCTTATGTACACTGTGCTGTACATTCTATTCCACAAACCACTCTACACTATACACTCCGCTATATTTTATATAATCCATCCTACTGCCCGATGTGTACTGTACTGTATATAGCATACTCTACACCACTCCCCTCTGTTCACTGTGCTGTGCATTCTATACTTCACACCAGTCCACACTATACACTCTGCTGTATGTTATATCATACATACCACTCCCCGATGTGTACTGTACTGTATATAGCATACTCCACACCACTCCCCTCTATACACTGTGCTGTATATTCTATTCTCCAAACCACTCCACACTATACAATCTGCTGTATGTTATATCACTAATAACACTTCCCGATGTGTATTGTACTGTTTATGGTATACTCCACACTACTCTACTCTTTACACAGTGCTGTACAATGTACATACTATACTCCAAACCACTCCACAATCTACTATATGTTATATAATCCTGGCCACTCCACTCTGCGTACAATGCTGTACTGTATATTTTATACTCCTCAACACTCCACTCTGTACATTCTATAGCCCACACAGCTCCACTCTGTACAATTGTTAGAATGCAATATACTCCACATTGCTCCAATCTGTACACTATGCTGTATTTTATATACTCTACCCCATTACTCTCTATACACTGTGCTGTACACGCTATACTCCATATTGCTCCACATTATACACTGCCCTATAGATTATATACTTCATACCACTCCACACACTATACACCCAACAGAATGTTATATACTCTGCACCTCTCCTTTGTGTGCACTGTTTTGTATGTTATATACTCTGCACCTCTCCATTGGGTACACTGTGTTGTATGTTATTGAGGGTTACCTCTCTATAGTGTGCACTGCATTGTATGTTATATGCTACGCACCTCTCCGTTGTGTGCACTGTGTTGTATATTACATACATCACTTTGTTCCATTGTATACACTCTACTGTATAGTTTATACACTGCCACTTACTATTGTCCCACTTTAGACCCACCAGACAGTGAACCACATTTGCTTCCACATTTGTTTCCTTTCTGCACCCAAACGGTCACTCATTTGCTGATAGTATTGATCACCAATATTCTTGTGCCTATGTCTATGCGCATCATTATATATAAGATCAGTCCACCCAAAACTAGTTTGTGTCCCCTATGGCTGGATGCTAGTGGGCTGACTTATCAAATGATTTGTTATATGTCTGCAGGCTATGATAGCGCTGGACCCATCAGCTTGTCCTATTGGTGTTACTATCCACTGGTAAGCATAAGCTGGTCACCAGGTTGGCAGATTCTACATCCGAAAGGATCTCCGCAGTTTGCTTGTTTTGTATGTCAAAAACAGCAAGTTTAGGAATCCAAACCACTGCTTGATAGTCCAGACACAGAAGAGCCGTCAGCATAGTCAGGACCCTATTGGAGATCAGTGGTTGGGATAACAGTTATAGATACAGTGGTATCTCGGTTCACAAACAGGAAGTTCGACAAAATTTTGCTTCCATTCGTGAACCTCGAATTGGGGGACAAAACATAACCGCAGCCATCTTCCCTGCTCTGACACATAGTCGTGGCTTCCTCTAGTCGAGATTGCGGTCTGGTCACAGTTTGATTTGGTTTGCAACCAGAATCGTGGAACAAATTAAGTTTGTGAACTGAGGTACCACTGTATATAGTAAAAATATTACTAGCCATGATGTTAGCTGACCTATAACGTTTTTAGCTAAAGTTTTCCTTAACAGCCTCCCTAATGGGGCCCCCCTTCCGGCCCCATAGCAGCCGTGTGGACTGCTGTGGCTATTGTTATGCCACCGTAATGCACTAAAGAAAATGAGAAAGTAGTGACACACGTACCTTGTTTGAGTACCGTGTCTCTGCTCTTCTTGTCAGTGACAAGCGGTTTGGGGGGCTGAACGAAATCTTCCTGGAACAGACTGCCCCATCCATAATTAAACCGTAGAATCAAATAGACCAGCAGCAGCACAGGCACACCCAGGAGTACACACATTAGCAACAGAGCCATCATAGAGTCTACTTTAAAAAATTACATCCACAAGTTGGAGAGGTCTACCGCTTTTGCAGCGTGGAGGTTCTGCAGTTACACTTTGCACTATGTGCTTTCCTAGACATGAAATATTCCTATATGCAGAATACACAGACAGTCAGAACACTAATTTTCCTGTACAAGCTGAACACGCCGTGTACTTGCACATGTTTGGAATTAAATGGGACAAAGGTTCCTTCTTATCTCCGCAAATCCAGCGGAAATGCTTAGAAAGCCACTCCCCTATATAAAGCTGATATTACAGAAACTACTTCGTATATACCCATTGGCCAGAAAAATAGGAACCCTGACCCCTTTTTTTTCTTAGCTGAGGCGTTCAAACGCCTTCTCCGCAAAACCCTGACCCCTTTGTAATTTGCCTATGTGGAGATACTTAGGAGCTGATTTATAAATGTTCCTCCCAGCGATGCCATTCATACAGCACTAGTGCCGCTAAATGGTGCTGGTGCTAGATTCTTTCCTATAAATTGAATTTAATCCAACCAATTCTTAACTGGCACAAGTTATAAGCTTACAAGCTTTCTGAAGGGATCAGTCAGTACTTTTTGCAATTATCGAATGGCTATAATAAAACGTTTTCAATGACACAGTCAAGGTATATTTCCAAGGTTTCTTAATATATATGTTTAAGCCCACCCCCATATTATAGAGGAAAGAAATGTATAAAATTAACCATTGCAGTGAGGGTACCCCAATGCTGCAAGGGTTAACTGCTCATTTTGGTCTAGGGGCTAAAATAAAAAAGATGAAGTCACCTGAGCCATAGACATGTAGTGGCAAGTGCCCACTTCTTTCCCCCTCTCTCCAGGTTGAGGTTCCTCCTCCTTCCATGTCCAATGGTTCTCCTTTTTGGGTAGAATGACACTCGTGCTATTCTGGTCATTTCTTGTGAGGCCAGCTTGTCATGGACACACCCACTTGAAGGCATGTCATCACTCAACCTGGGCTCACAGTACTCCAGAACTGAAAAATGCTTGCATGTCATGATTCTAGGTCCAGGAGAAATAGTCACCACCCTGCCACCATCAAGGAAGAAGAGGAAGCTCCAGGGATTCTACTGGACTGGCTTGAAGACTGGAGGAAAAAGTTACGTGCAGGTTTTTTTATTTTTATAAAGACCTTCCTTGGAGGTTTCGGGGGTGGGGGGCCTGGGTGGAGGGGTGTCCATATAGCCAGAGTTCTGCTTTAACAGATCAAAGGAAATACAAAAGTACAATGTTAGTTACCTTACACTTTAACATAGTACTAAAATGTCCACTTGAATGTCAAAATCAGGAACGTCTCTTCAAAATATGGACCACTGTGAGCTCTTTATTTAATATCCATCGTTATCAGAGTACTGTACAATAAATAGAACACTAAACGCACCTTATTTCTGTGTCCTATTGTAAATAATCCTGTACACATGACATGTTCAGGAGCTTTTCAACGAAATTCCAGCTGATCCAAATCCCTTTACTCAGAGCAGAAAAAGGTTTAAAATGATGTTGTGTGAAATGACAGGTTAGCTTAAAGTGTATTTCCACTTTTGCAGTCAAATTTGAGAAAGCCCTTCTATATGTTTGTTATGTGTTCTCATTCACACATCCAGAGGTCTACCCAGGGCCGGATTTCCCACAAGGCCAACCGAGGCTCGGCCTTGGGGCAGCAGGGAGTAGAGGGGCAGCAGGGGTGTGGAATTCCTATCTCCCGACACCCAGGACATGCAGTATTGAGCGCCGGGCAGCTAGTTGTTTGCTACATTTAGCTCTTCTTTGGGCAAGGAGGGCTAAATGTACAGCAAGGAAGCCGCCGCTTGTTTTGTACAAGTGATCTCGGCGTTGGACGCAGCCTGCATACAGGGAGGCGCATTGAGGAACCTGGCATTTGGGCAGCAGAGAGAGTGAATCCGGCCCTGGGTGTACCTGCAAAAATTTGCACCCCTGGCATCCCACCCAGCTCCTGGCAACCAGTGATGGCCCTTACACATCTCCCCCTGGCCAGCCCAGTGATGTCAATGGTTGCCCGGAGCTAGACGGGATGCCGGACAGAGTGTTCAGCCTGCATACACATCTCCCGCTCTGCTATGGGTAGCGATATTTTTTTTTCTGTTAGCTTACTGCTCATACTTCTTTCATCTAGTGGTTTGTTACATCTGCATGAGCTCCAGTAGTGAGTACCGTACTTCCAGGTTTACACCCCAACCAAGGCAATTATGAGGGCTATCCAACCCTCACCCACGCCGTTGAATTCTTAATCTATTTTATATTATTATTTTATATTATAATTTATTTTTGTAGAAAAGACACCATGAGGCTTTTTTTCACACTCCCATGTTGCTTTAGAAGGAGCAAGACTCACAGGGGGGGCGAGGATTCTTTCCTTGTTGGGTACACAAAATTGCAGTTATGTTTTTTTTGCATTTTAATACATATTACCAAGAAAACAATTCTCCATATATCATTTTTATTTAAAATCAGAGATGAAGAGAACGAACACAAGGATATCACAAAGAGGACACACTATTTACACACTGGTGAGATACTGTTACTTATTTGGGGAAAGTATTTCTTTTTGGCAGTGTTATGCTGTAGAGATCACAGAGGTTACTTGACAAACAGTTTAAGCTACCAAGGCCTCAAAAGTCTTCCGTATATTTCCTATGGTTGAAATACTGTATGTGTGGCCTTATTGAAACAATACACAAAAATACTGGTGTTTGGGGAACACAAAGCAACCAATCGGGACTTAATTTGGCAAGGTTAGTCCAATCAGACCCATGGCAGTTGTTCTGAGTCTGGATGCTATTGGTCACCGCTCTCTAGATTTTAACTCATGACAGTAAAGAGCTGATTTATAAATATGCTGGGTGGATACCGTTCGTATGGCACCAAGCTAATTGGTTAAACAAACCCAACATGGGAATATTCTATTAAAAGTAATAGTTGTTTGGAAATGTAGTTAAAGCGGTCAAGGAACAAGATAGTCTTTATGACTAACGATAAGTGCTTTTATCAGTACAATGTAATGACTCTATACCGAAGAGCCAGTCCACCCAAAAGTGATATAGGAGTTATAGATTGTATGCTGACCTCACCTGCAGGCTTTCATATCTCTTGGGCACTGCAGTGGTGAGCTCTCCTTGCCATCATCTCTGGTTTTCATCCTACCCATGGACTCCTGCCCATCTTGGCATCTTTACACTCCCTTGATTGTATTCTTCATAATGTAAAATAAATGATATATCTAACGGAATTAAAACGCCCCCTTCCCCATGAAGGTCACGAGACTTACGCTGGTTTGGGAACTTAATCACGAAGGTCTCACCAGTGTTTTGAGACCTTTAGGCAGCTCAGTTCTCCAGCATCTACAAAAAAACTGAACTATCAGTTTTAAATAAATTGGCCCTCGAAACATCTGTCACAATACTTTTTAGTATGATGCTTTTATGTTTATTATCAGCAATAAAAACAGTACAGTTCAGATTAGTTACTCCAAAAACACCTATAATATTCCTGTTGGGAAATTTGTTAATTATGTGTAAAGGAATACATTCTGCATGTGTTTTGCCTGTAGTATAAATAGACAAACTGGGCCTGTAGAACTCTAGCAGATGTGAAGATTCATGTCTCATGCAACCTTGTCTCTGTCAATGTACTCTAGGGAATGTAACACCATATTACTTGGATAAGAATCTCAAAGCCAGGTCTACGTCACAATTTGCTTTAAAAATGTTTTAACATAACTAACACAACAACGCCCAGCTAATCAATAAACAACATATGAATAAATATATATATATAGACTCTCTATAAATATTAATTTCTGTATATATACAAAATAATTTACTTCCCAACATTTACTGACAATAGCATTTATACCCCCTGTACAAGGACATTCCTCAAAGAGTTTTACCTGGCTGCAATAGGCTAGTCTGGTATTGGTAAGATGAAAGACATGCCTATTAACTGTATCCATAAGGGCAGTCTTTTTGAGCAATGAATTCTCATTGTTTATCCTTTGAATCAATGGTCCAACTAAGGATGCCACCTGTCATTCGGTCCAGTTTTTTTAACTACTATCTGGTTCTTCAGTCCCTTTGGAGAGTATTGGTCTGGGTGCTCTGCATAGGAAACTGGACCCACCTCCAAACCATGCCCACTCTGCTTCAGGGCCACTTTCTATAAGGAGCACTGGCAATATCTTCTTTGTTAGTCTTCTAAACTATCCCTGTGTTACTGGGAAACCTTCTTGAATCCAAGGTTCTGGCTGCACATGGGGCTGCAGCTTCTGCCCAAATCAAGATTAAGCCCTCCCCCCCTACCAGTGCTAAGCCCTGCCCTTGTAATCTATCACCAATTTATGCTTAGAGGTTCTAGAATTTAACTTTTGAATGAGAGGTTTTGGGGGTTAATCTTGAATTGGACAGAAGTTAAGGCCCCATTAATCTGATGCCTAACACAGGGACCTGTAGCCACCACAAGATGCATGCGCTTCAGCCCTGTTGTTGGTTTTTGGCCAAGTCGGGTTCACATTAATACAAGACAAAAGTATATAAAAAGTATATAATGGAAATGCTATTTTGAATCATCTGAGCAGTAATTTAGGAGGGGGGGCTCCTCTTCAGCTTCTGGGTTTTGAACGTACAGAGAGTCCATAGTGCAGCAATACCAGCCGCTTAAATTAGGTATTGCAGTGAACTCATCCATTACAATGGGTCATTAGGGCAACCGCTGTTTCTTTGCCTTCACTATGTCTAGAAATGGAAGACATGGTAGGTTGGGTACAATGGCCACCCTGTTGTTTATTAGGGGGTTTAGGTGGGCCTCTACACCCCAAAATTGTATCCAGGGAGCCGCCCCCCCCCCCCCCCAAAAAAAAAAGGGGTTTCAATTTTTTTTTACC